TATTTCTAACACTTCGAAAAGTGTTGGTATGTATAACTGTCAATTTTCAACTGTGTTTGGGTCACTTCCAAAAATGCAAGTGAAGCGTGTCTGTCTATGATTCCCTACCCAGGTCTTCATCAGCCCAATGAACCCACACTTTATCCTTCTATTACTGCCAGATGTGGGCCAGGCTGGCCTTTTGGCAAGATCGTTCAGCTGCAAGACTTCACCTTTTGTATATAGAAATGCTGACCCAGTCTTTTGAGCAGAAATTGTCTTTAACCCATTAGGTTAATGAATTAACTGTATAACATTCGGCTTTCTGTTTCCTATCAGTTTAAAATGCCCAAAAGAATAAACTCCAGGCAAAATGACTTTGTAAAACTCCACATTTTTCCAGTAGCAGAATAGAATCTGGTAATTTTCCATTTCGCTAGATATTCCGTTATTCTTTTATGCAGTATGTTGCTTCGGGACTTGAGTAACTATGCCTCTCCACAACTTCCTATCTTTTGTTGTTTTAAGTGTCTTTTCTTTTTACTCTTCTTTGTTCCTGTTCTGCTATCCATTCATACAAATTTATCCACTATTTGGAATTAAAACAAGTCTTTTTATTCTTTTGCATGCTATCTCCTTTAATGATGTGAGCGATCATGGCTCTCCATAACTTCCTCTCTTATCTTTCTCTTTTTTACCCTCTTTGTCATCCTTGCTTTGTTATCCATTCATTTAGACTCTTGGTTCTCTCTGCTTCTCTTGCTTTCAGTATGTCCTGTGAGTGTTAAACTCTCCTAGCCCTCTTTCCTTATTATGTATGCTGGAAATTTCAACTTCTTTTTCTGATTGTAATTTCTTTGTTGCTCATATTTTTCTGAAAACATCCTCATTGCTTCTATGTTTAGTCCATGGTATTCTCAGCATTTGTAGAGGAGAAACACATCCTTGTTGCTTCATGTCTCTTCTTCATCTGTGAAAAGATTGCCTGTTATTCACTGTTGTATCATTATTTTTAGACCTGATTAATAAACAAACAAAGTGTCTACTCCAATATGGGTATCTACTAAAAATAGTGTTTATGTAATAAAATCTGTTGGATTAATAAATAAAAAAATCCATCGCTTTAGAAATTGCTTTGTTTACATTAGGATACAAAACTGAGTAGATATGTATAATTCAAGATTTTGTGAAAATTTTGCATTTAAAAGCACTATTCAACTTGGTCATCTTGGCTGAGAGGTCTAAATTACGTTGGATCTAATGATGGTTATTCCTGCTCAGGTGGATGCTGCTTTGAATCCTGACAGAGAGTGCATATTTTTCTTTAATAAGATTTCTCAAATATTCAGACTAGTAGACAAAAATAAATAAATATACTGTTTAATAAGTAATCAGAGCATCTATACAAATATGAGTATCCCTTAAATATAATGCTTAAGTAATAAAAATCTGTCAGATTAATAAATAAAAAAATCCATTATTTCTTTAGAAATAGACTAATGTGTAAGTAGAATAAAGGCTGTTCCAATGAGCAAACTTGAACTTAAAAGCTTCATCACTGTTTTTTTTTTTTTTTTTTAAATAATTTTATACCTAGACTTTAGGGTCTACCCAAAATGCACAAAGCAGACAATCCATTGTAACCTATCATTTCTGCAATTTAAAGTACTCTCCATATACTGGTAAAAGCCATATCAAAAATATTAACCTCACTTCTTGGAACAAGTAAAACTCCGCAGATTAAAAATTTGGGCAAGGCAACCAGGTTGAAAAACTAAAAAGGATACATTATTTACATTATTCGAACTATTGTCCTCATCTTTATCACCATATTTATTACAACGTTTCAGCCGTTGTACGCTTCAGCCTCCTTCAGGTGTTTGGAATATCAAACAGAACCCTTTATTTTGCCATTAGTTAGATCCAGTGACAAGACCCAAAAGAGTGTGAGTTCAATACCGAGTTAAGGCAGTGGAGAACTTTCAGAAGGGAATTAACAGGAGATAACTAATAACTGATATCCATTAAACATGGCATATGGAACTAGAACAGTCTACCCCAGTGAGCGAAATAAAGGTTTCAGTTTGACATTCCAAACACCTGAAGAAGGCTGGAGCATACAATGGCCGAAATGTTGTAATAAATATGGCAACAAAGATGAGGACAATAGTCCAAATAATGTAAATAATGTACATAATACCTCATCTCAGAAATATAGACAGATAAAGAGGATATATATAACACATAAACTCATGGTCAGTTTAGATGTCATATCCCTTTGTAAAATGGTAGCACCATAAATTTCCAGGAACCAGTTCTATAAAGGCAGGTAATCTTTAGGAACCTGTTTTAAATATTTTCTTTTCAATCTGAGAATAGAAACAAATCACTTTATAGTATCAAAAGGAATTAAACCATTTTGATCATTTAATAGAAAACACTCATTTATTAAGATCAAAATTCTGTTCTCATCCTAATTCTATTCAGAAGCATGATGCTTTTTGACTCTAGGATTATCAGTTGTGTTATGTTTACTTAGCAACATTCAAACAGAATTGCTGCAGTCCTAAAGATCTAATGGAAGACATATCAAATTTATGACTAGAAGATTTGCCACATTTTAAACTTCAAAATAGTAGGGGGCATATGTATATTAGAGTTTCATTAGACACAAGCATAACTAGCATTTTACTGAGACTATCGGCTATTAATGTATGAGATTATTTTTGGATTAGCCAACAACCTGTTCACTAAGCTTTTATAATTTTAAGAAACGGTTTATTCAAATACGTAGGATGCCAATATTGCCTTTACACAGTTCCTGTCAACAAATGCTTTAATTAAAAAAAGTTAAAATTAAACATCTCGTAAAATCAAAAATAAACCTTTCCCTACAAATAGATAAAATTATAAAACATTGCTGACTCATCACAAACAAATGTTATTTTACTTTTAACAATGATTTTTATAAGCAAAAATTTGGTTTACTGATGGGATCACCTCTCAGCAGAATTTTAGCTGGTCTATTGTTCTTTCTGGCGATCATGGCCCTTCACTTCCCCCTATCCCTTGTAGGTCTCAATAAGTTTTGTCCCTTTGCTACTTCCACCAGGCCATGTTCTATCATTCACTCAAGTCTACCAGGTCATGCATTGCTTTCCCTTGTCTCTCTTTCCCTTCATTCAACCTGTGAGTATCAGATTCTCCAGGCCCTTCTTTCTCATTATGTGTCCCAGAAATTTCAGCTACCTCTTCCTGATGTTAAGTATAAGCTTCCTCCTTGTCTGCATCCATCAAAAACCTCATCGTTGCTCCCATGTTTGGTCCATGATATCTTTAGCATCCTTCTGTAGAACTATACCTCCTTTGCCTCAAGTCTCTTCTTCATCTTTGAGGAGGCCATCCAACATTTGCTGCCATAAAGGAGGGCAGATGTCACATAGCAGCTCAGTACTCTTTTCTTTGTTACTAAAGAAATCCTCCTGTCTTGTAATACTCTGCCTAGCTATCTGTTCTTAGAATTTCTTAAATCTGGTTCAAAATATTTTACCAAAACAGTCACCATATTTCTGATATCTTGATGCTGCTTTATTAATATCTCCCTGCAAATCACTATTACCTGATTTTGTAAATATACAACAGAATTTACTTATAAAGCAAAACAATACAATGTAAATGTAATGTTTACTTGAAACTTGAAACTTAATGAAAATAACATTTTTTTTACATACAGTAGCTTGTGATGTCATAGGTCATCAACAGTAGTTTTGTACTGTAATCCCTGACTTTAAAAAAATCTTTTTAAAAATTAAAGAAATATGGAATACCAACAGTGCAATAATCATTAAATTAGTAGTTATGCTTAAAAATAGATTATCTTTAACCTTATATAACCAAGAGTTTAAGAAGATACTTTTTTATTCTATACACTTTTATAAAACTCAGCAGAATTAATAATTTTATTTTTATACTACACTCAAAGTATAAAAAATAATTTAATTAAAAGCTAGTAAATGATACTTTTGAGTTTAATTTATTGTTTTTATTCTCTTACCTGTTTGAGGATTATTATATATTATATTACATATCTGATAGGGAAGAGTAGTTATCAAAGGCAGTAATTCAGAATTATTTTTTTTTTGATCATCCATATAAAACTTAATCTAACAGTTGCTAAGATAAAAAAATTAAAAACACTTTAAAAAAAGGTTCACACTCGAAGATGGCATTAAACTTGACATTTTTCAATTCTTCAAACATGTCTTTATTTAATAAAATCTCTTGTTATGAACAGCAACGTAGTGAATTTCAAAATCACACTGGAAAATAAAAGTAATTTTTTCAAAAATAAATATGTGTAGATTTTTTTTTTCTGTTCAATCTGAAAGAAAACGTGTTTTATTAAATTATGTAAGCAACTTTAAAAAAAAAAAAAAAAAAAAAAAAAAAAATTTTTAAGTTTTATTGAATTAGTTTCAGTAAAGTTCAAGAGGAATTTTCTATATTTTCACACTTCATATTGCATACATTTTTTTACTGAAATAACATCTTCAGGGATTTTTCTTTCTATAACTGTAAAAAAAAAAAAATCTCACAAACAAGATAAGTTAAGCATATTAAGAATTCTCAAAGACCAAAAGATTCATTAAACAGATTAATTGTTCACAAGTTAATTGTTTGGAGATTGTTACTGGAATTAATATGAATATATTTTGAGATGTTTGACTGGCTAACCTACTGAGTCAACAGAATGATTGATTGATTTGTTTTTGATTGATTCTTTTTTATGGCTTATCAACACTTTGCAGATTATTTAAATATTATTTAAATAATGAACACAACAGGAATTGGAACTCAGCTCTCTGATTAATAATTCCGAGCCATTATCCATTACACCACCTGCACATCCAAGCTTACAGCACATGGTGAAGTGAATATAAGGAACCCAAGAAGGAATTGGAACTCGGCTCTCTGATTAACAATTCCAAGCCATTATCCATTACACCACCTGCACATCCAAGATTACAGCACATGGTATTCCCAAACATTCACCCATCTAAGTACTAGCCAGGCTTGACACTGCTTAACTTCAGTGATAATATGGGAACAATTGATTCGTGATTTGGCCGTAAGCCTTGACACAATGAGATATTGATTAAATTATGTAATCGGTGCAAGAAAAGATGTTTCCACTGTTCATGAATTGTATTTTCATCCAAATCCCTAAATTTATTGATAATTGTCAGTTTCAGAAAGAAATTCAATTCTTTTTTTTCCTCGTTGTGGTTGGGAAACTTGTCTTAATCTCGTGAATTCAATCATTAATACTCATTGGGTACCCTATATTTGTGGCTTTGTAACAAAAAAAAAAATTTGGATTAACAAAAGATGCATTCCAGTATCTAAAAAGACTAAGAAACAGGAAAATTTTGTTAAACAAATAAAGGAATGCTGAAATGCTATGTGATATCAATAGTCTTGTTGTATGACAGTGAATGTTGGACAATCTCCCAACAGATGAAGAATAAACTGGAGGCAACAGAAAAGCGGCTCTACAGAAGGATACTGAGAATTCCATGGATGGAAAGAGTAAGCAATGAAGAAGTCTTAAAGAAAACAGTAACCAAAAAGAACACTTATATTCAAAATCAGAAAGAGGAGACAGCTGAAATTTCTTGGACACAATGAGGAAGACATGCATGGAGAACTGGATATATCAAGGGAAGAGAGAGGAAGACAATGACCTTGCCTATGCGAGGAGCTTGTGTGAAAGGTGATTGAATAAGTGAAACTTAGATGTGGCACAAGGCTGGAAGTATGGAACGCCTAGGAAGGCTCAAACTTGCTACTCACTAGTAATTGATATGGCAAGATAATCTTGTTAACCATTACACCTAATCAAAGTACTCAATGATTAAATCATACTTGGCAAAGGGAGAAATGCTACTAAGTGTCACAAGGGATAGGATGTTGTGGAGAGCCATGATCGCCCACGTCCTGAAATGACTCTCAAAATATATTCACATCTACTAAAAACAAGCATTCATATTTTGTGTAAGCCTTACAGATCTTTTTTTTTTTATAAATACAATTGTTCACTCAATACAAGGCTCAAGAGACACTCAAGGTAGAGTCCTATTGAACGAGATTATTATATGGACATAAGTGTAGATTATGAGGATACATAGAACAGGTGAATCTAGCTTTGAATGGGCTAATATTGGAAGCATCCTCCCGGGAGTCTGTTTCACAAAGTGATCGTTTTTGGTGAAGAAACTTAGTGGAACTTCTTCCTTACTGATGGAATACGAACGATGTACTTAACTTGTGGGTTATCCGTTGACAATTTTTTAATTAATTTTCCAACTTTTTCACAAATATAGATGTGTAAAATATTTGTTTTTTAAATTATATTTATTTCTCCAAGTAAAAAACTTTGTCTATTATTTGGGTAGCATGAACATGGCGATAGCCTGCAGGACGGTGTTGAATGGGTCAACTTCATCGGGTAGTTTCATTAGATGGCCATTTTTGCAGTGATTCTCAGTTGGCAGGATCCCTTTTTAGCTTGAAGCAGGCGGACAGCGTCCTCTTCATTTCTCTGCAGGTCGCAAATATTCACATAGAATTAGCAGGCTGAAAATAAATAAATACCACGTCTCATTTTATAAAATGTGTCGATAGATAACCCACAAAAGTACCACGAACGGAATGGGGATTATTAGACGACCCTTAAATACGTGGCATATCGCATTCGAGCTGTCTGAACTAGTAGAAATGGAATTAGTAGTAAACGTAATGGAAGGACTCCTGAAAGAAATATCGTACTCCTTTGAATGAAATTCTTCTAGGGGTTCCTGGCCGCCCTGATCAAACTGATAGATTCTTTAGAACGGACACAGCTTAAAAAGGCGGTCTACTGAGGTTCCATGTTTATGTATTACAGATTTGGTTGTTCGTAAGATCTTACCGAGTGTTTCGCATTTGTGCCGTATTAAATAAAGCTTAGAAAATAATCATACCTAATTTGGCGTAAATGTTTTTTTTTTCTTTCCCGATAAAGAGTACAGTGTGTTTTAAATAAAAAGGAACAAAAAAAACAAAATAAAGAAGTAAAATATCTCTTCGTAATGAAAGCATGTCTACAATTGAAATATTGTTTTCCGCTACCCCAAGCTTTTTTTCTTCTATTTCTGTGAAACCGAAGTAGCAGTTAACTGTTAAATTGCAACAAGAGGCGAACTGTCACTGACATGCAATCGTTTACTCAAATGACAGCCTCATCAGGTAGTTGCTTTCCCCAACTCCTTTACATCCAACTGATTTCTCCCCACCTTCTTTATTCTATCTGTCTATCTGCCCAACCCCCCAACGCAAGAAACGTCAGGGTAGCTGGAGATGTGATTACAGACCTGTTAGCGTTGTTGAAACAAGATGATGTCTGGTGGGTAAGGGTAGAGAAAGAATCAAGCAGTTTGTTCTGCAGTCCCGACGGAGAGGACACTTTAAGTGTTACAAAAAATTGGGCTGGGTGGGGGAAAAGATTTACTGACACCTGCAAACGTCAGATGTTGTTGTTATTGTTCCGGATGATTATTTGGGAAGTTTGTTTTAGTTTTTTGTTTTAGATTTTTTTCGTTTTAAGATTTTTTTTTTTTTTTGCTGTTTCAAAGAATAGTTTTCTTAAACTTTCTTTTTTCAATTAAACTTTAATTTTCGAGTTTTTATCTTCTCAATAAAACAAATGTTATGGGACTTCAAGCGCTAACCAAGTAAAATATAATTTTAGCCCGACACCACAAGTGGCACCCAGTGAGGATCGAACTACACCACAGTTATTTGCAAGATAAACTTGATTACCAATTACACCAGGTTTAATCACAAACTGGCGATCTCATCAGCAAATTGAAAAATAAAGTTGTAGTTAGCTTACATTATAAATCATAGTTCTGTTAACAATTGGATTTGCTAAAGAACTGCCTCACGAAATCAAACAAACTTCTCACTATCGATCAACAAAATCATAAACCTTTGTTGGTTTTGTACAAAAATTATTCTTACCTATGGGTTCTCCAAACATAGCCAGGTTCACACTTCTCCGACTTTTGAACAGGAATAGGGGTGTATCCCTTGATTCCTGTTTAGGATTGAGTTTCCACTTCCTTCTCCTAGAGTCTTCTCATTTTCTTTCACCTCCTCCCAGTAACCCTTTGCATCTTAGTAACATTATTGTGGCTTGGGATGAAATGTTTAAAAATAAGTTGTTACCTACTTCTTTCTCTATCATATATCTCTATCATATATATATATATATATATATATATATATATATATATATATGATATCACCCCATGCAAGGCAGTAAAACCACTAATAGACATGTGGAAGAACAAGAAAAAAGAGAAACATTACAGAGTGAGAAGAATAGAAGACTTATGAAGACAGTAGATAGCAATTGACTGTGCATTTAAATTTTTGAAGATCAAAGTTGGCTGGAAAGCCAGAAGAGAGTTCTACAAACAAGAAGTGCAAGAGAAGAAACTGTTAGCATAGAACTTATGGTTACATCTATCCATTTCAAATGTAAAATGATGAGACCTTGTTTGCAATCAAGTACAACATAAAGTCTGGCTACCATAGCAAAGAGTTCATCCGGACAATTATCTTAAAAGTATTTATAGAAAAGACACAAGGAAGCTACATTACAGTGGTGGGATAATGACTGAAGCCAAGATGTCAGGTCAGGACCAATAATATTGCTGATTTTTCTTTGGATTTTATATATATATATATATATATATATATATATATATATATATATCTTTTAAGTAATTAATGTAATATTTTTCTGTCATTATGTCTTCATGCTATAAACGTTTGTACTGAATGGGTACATGGGTTTGAGTAGACATCCCTGGTTTGTCTATTCAAAAACATTTTGAAAAATCTATTAATTACTTAAAAGTTATTCTGTTTCAGTTTGGGTAAGAAAATAGTTTTAAAAAAAAGAAAAAAGTGGTCTCAACAAGAGATGCACATTTCTTAAATAAGGCAATTCAGTCTTACTTTGCTTTGATGACTTCCTGTAGCTTAATGGTAAAATGTGCTTGAATTGTTAGTAGTTTCCCACATTAGAAATTTAATACTAGTTCAACTATTGTCAGGAGGCACATTTTTTTGGTAAGACTTTTAATCTCTAAACTGGATCACATATATATATAATCCTGACAGAGTTATAAATTATTGACATTTGTAAAAACGTTCATGAAAGTATGTTTCAAAAACCATCTGACTATGCATTTCACCTGTTAGGCTTCATCAGATCGAAGACAAAAAAATGAGTGTGTGTATGTATTTGTGTGTGTTTAAAATAATGAAATCTTTTTTGTGGATATTTTTTCAAAACATATTTTCATGAACATTTTTTCCAAATGTCAATAATATATATATATATATATATATATATATATATATATATATATATATATATAAAATTGTCCAATGTTAGATCAAGCTTTAAACTGTTGTATTTTAAAAATGATTAAAGGTATCTTACTGGAATTCTGCAAAGTTTTTATAACACTATTGGACTCTACTTTGAACAATAAGAATGTATTTAGCTCCAAATTGAAATGCTGATCTCTCTTGCTGTTGTGATCTTCTGATCCAGTTTTCCTTTCTACTGTTCCCTCTTTTTCAAACTTATTCACCGTTCTATTGATGGTTCATGAATGGACTTTCAAGATGAAAGCCAGAGTATGAATGCTCATACCATTGATCTTTTTTTTATCTCATCGTTGCTCAGTTGGGAAATCATAGTGAGAAAGAAGAGCAAGAAAGAAAGAAAGACACAAGATATAGTCTCTTCTATAGAGAAAAGGAAGAAGAGAAAAAGGAAATGAAATATGAAATAGCCATACATGTTATATTGACAGTCGGTTCAACCAATCAAAGTGGTCTCTGCTAAGTAAAATGTCATGAAACACAGATTTAAATTTTAATGAATACATATGTAATATTTGGAACAAAAATTTATAATGACAAAATATTAGTCTTTTCATAATAAATCATTGGTCAAGAAATAAACAAGAATTATTTATGCTCTTAAATTCTTTAATTTTCAGTATCTCC